GTAAACATCTTTATATTCTTTTTTCAACAAATATACAGTCAAAGACATCAAAAGATTGTACATAACCTAACGGACACACTAACAGGCCTGCATAGGCAACAAACAGGATTACACTAGCGACAAGAAGTCTACGCAGAAGGCTTTCCCTGAATGTTAACACATATTATTGGCTTAAATAGCCGAGGTCTACCAAATCTACACTTAGACATCAAAGCACGACACTGAATCCTTATGCGGTAATCATAAGTCATTAATCTCGTACTGCTCAGAGTCAGTGAGATACGAAATCATACGAAATAATCAAATAAAAATCAGGATAAGGCTAGGAAATCACAAAGTCAAGAACTTAATGTATCAGTGGTCTATGTGTAGGTATTGTATCAGTAGTATCTATCATGTCCGTGTTACAATAATCAGAAGATATAAATCCGAATCTCGTTCTGTTTCATGTCATTACCAATTTCATATCCTAACAGGTGTCGGTATCCATGAATCAATAAATCTTATTCATGATCGTGCCCAGTAACAAACTATAAATTCGTCATAATCCATTTTAACGACAATTCGAAATACATATGTCATATCTTAATCATCAGAATCAATAGTATGCCTATCAGAGAAAGCTACAATGCATATCGTACTTGCCCATTTCATATACATGGTCTTACTGACAAGCAATAAACACTGGCTATTATATGTGTGTTGTAGGATCCTTTAGTGTTTGTTGTAGAATCCTATTGTTGTTGTATATTCATTACGTTGGTTTCATAGAGCGTCCTTGTGCCGTCGGCGTCCTTCAGCATATTTAAATCCTTTAATCCCATCGATATATCTATGGTCATGTTAAACGTGAAGCTCGCCACATCTTATACAGGTAAGTCAATCTCCTACCAATGCTTCAACAGGTTATTGTCTTTCGTATATTCAATTCATAGTCATATAAGAACTGCATTAGCTCATATCATTTCATATGCATTCAATCATCAATTTCGGAATCGGAATCGTCGAATCAGCGCTACGGGTATACAGATTCACATCACCAAACAATTTACCAAATTACAATAGAAATGATTATTCACGACCCAAATCTAAGATTTTTCGCTGATCCATATAATAACTCATGATTTTTTCTTATTCGATCAAATGGTATTACCCAAATGACGTTGAATCGTTCCAGAAATATCAAATATGTATTTATTCGTAGTATAAATATTAAAAGTGTGCGGTGAAGTCTGTGTTCAATAAAAACTGTCTTTTTTGTCATAAACAAAACAGGTCACAACACGATCAAAAATCAATATCTCTGAAAAAGTAGATCGGTCTTTCAACTTTAACAAATAGCTCATGGCGGAAGACGAAAAAGCGTCTCCGCGGTCTCGATAAATGATATTTTCCTTCGCTTTCCTTCTCTTTCCTTCTCTTTCTTTCCTCAGTATTTTGATTTTTAAAAAGTTTTTCTCTTCCCTCCTCACTGATTTCTTTCTGACATTTGGCCTGTCGTCTGGCGACGCCAATCGTCCTAGGATGTATTTGACAAAATCCAATCGTACAGGTGGAGTTTTGCAGGCGATAATTAATTTGCAAGGCGTTGTCTCGGGATTTGTGCACTGATCATCTATAGCGATCCAAAAATCGCAAATGGACGATCCTCAGAAATCAGCTGTTTCAATACAACTATCTTGACGATCTCAATATCGTCCGATCGATATGGGAAAATCCATCTTGAGAAGGTAAGATTGAAAGGAACGAATTCAAATCTCCACCTTAGAATGTCGTTGAATTTCTAAGGTCGAATTCAAATGGACCAAACAATCAATCAATCAAATCGTACAATCATTACAGACATTTACTAAACTCGTACCATGTCATTTTCAGGCATGAAACATTTTCAAATTGTTGTATGTTTCGTCTGACTTCATGACAGGTCTGCCTATCCAGCTTGGCATTCGTCATTCTATGTCATATGCAACCTCGGCAGATTGTTGTCCTCACCGATAACTTGTCTCGATTATCTTTTTCTCACAAAATGTAAAAATTAAACTGCTTGTAACTTCCCTTTCTCTTGCCCGGCCGGCGTTTTGCTAACTGTCGCTCCCATTTTGAGCGACATTGTAGCAATACTTATTCATTTGCAGTGTGAGTGGGAAATCGTGTTAGCAGACTCAATAGCTTTCTTTTGGATCTGGGTCTGTCAATTCATATTCGATCAATAAAAATCGCGGAATTCAAGTCGTAAAACGATAAATATGCTTCCCTATCTTTGGATATGATCTTTTCACTACATCCCGCTCTGATAATTGACGTCCAGCTTATAGTGAAGGATTCTCTGCTCTTCATCGTTCTTTTTTTCTTCTTTCTTATTCTTTTTTTTCGTTCAGTCAATACAGCATCCGAGGTTATTGCATTACGCATAGAATCAAAGAGAATAAACTTACTATAGTTTCAATGTTAACATATATAGTGCAAAATAAATCCAAGATATTGTACATAGCCCACGTACCAAAGGCTGCATACGAACAAAACAAGATCACTAGCGACAAAAAAGTTACGCGGGAGGCTCTGCACCTGAATTTTAAATTAATGGCTTTAGTCCAGCGGTACAAGTACAATGAAATAGAGATGTAATAGCAGTAATTTCATCGCTACCATTAATCAAATAGGACAATAAATCTTTAATCATAATACTAGTAGGAAATCCACAAGCTAAGAAACAATGTTGGTTATGTGGGTTTTGTATCAGTTTCATCTGATCTGTGATCATAATTAGGTACTTATATAACAGATATAATTCATGATCAATACAATATCCTATCTACTCGTGTCCCGGTATCATGATCCAATAACATTAAATATCATGAAATCGTTCAGTAACAGACCTAAATTCGTAATAATCTCAATCAGTAACGTCTCATTCAATAAATATCGTCATATCAATAATCATCAGAATCATAGTTATGTTATCAGGAATCCATACAAGCAATTCGTACAATGCAATTTCTACATTATAACAGCATACACTATTTTCAATGTGTGTTGTTAGAAATCCATAGTGTTGTTGTGATCTATTGTGTTGTAATATCTATGTTGTTTCTATAAGGTCGTCACGTCTGTGCCCGTCGAATATTTAATCCTTAAATCCAAATGATTTCATGGCTCTCATGTTTAAAGGAAGCATCGGCCACATCACTGTAGGTCGTCAATCTCAACCACTGTTCAACAGATTCCGTTGTCTTCGTATAATCAATTAATGTTAATTAGACATGCGAGCTTCATATCAACATTCTATGCATTCAATCATCATTTCGGAATCGGAATGTTACGAACTCCACCGGATATGCAGTATTACGATTTAACCAAAATCCCAAAAAGATTTTACCAATTACATAGGATGTTCACGACATTAGTAGTTTTTATGGATCAATATTCAATAACTTGATATTTTTTATTCGATCAATCTGTGGTGAACCCCAAATGACGGTGGATCTTCCAGAATATCTAATCGTGTAGATATTCGTTTCTATACTATTAAGTTGTGCGGTGAAAATGTGTGTCATACATAACCGTCATTTTCTGATCCTTTTCTTTTATGTGTCTAGAATGGACGCTCTAAGGAGGCATTCCCCCGTTGCTGCTGCTCCTGAGGGAACGACTGAGCTCAAGAAAAGTGCAGTAGGCTTTGAAGAAAAGATTTATGCTGCTGCTGTCAATCAGGTAAATGCATTTTCTGTATAAAAATGTCTTCCTATAGCTTATGATTGTCTTTACATAAATTGGCATCCAACATATAACAGATGTCCTAAAACATTAGTACTGCTTTTTTTGGCTGGTGAAGAAGGGCCAAGTAGGTCTATATATATGCATTACACTTACTGGAATTTGCTACGTAGTAGTATCAAGTTTCATGTTAGTGAAACCTTCCAGAGTGTTTTCCCACTGTGCATAACTATTGATGAAAACAATCATTATGTTTTCGAGAAAATGTTACACTTTCAAGAGGGTTGTTTCATGACAAATTATTCTGTGCGGAGTCCGGACGGCATCCATAGACCAATCAAAATGCGTCACGTCACCCCAAAAGTGTACCGCGCTCGGTACCGAGCGTGATACCGACGCCGGTACTGCTCAGTACCAAGCGGTATCGGACGGCTCTCTCATCTGGTGTCCACACAGAATAATCTCTCTTGTTTCATAGCCTCATGTTTTGTTTGATTTGGATTCTAAATGGAGCTGGTAGTGCATTGACGTTGGGCTTCAAATTATGTTTTATCGTTAATACTATATTGAAAAAAAAAAAGAATTCACGTTTTTGCTACTATCGTCTTTTCATCAACATGGGACTCACCTCTTGTACTTATTTCCTTATTTTCACTATTTTCATGATCTCAGTCATATTATCTGAGAAAGATTTCCTTGAAATTGCTCTCCATGGAGTCTAAGACCGAACAGAATACTCCAATGAACCCTTTACCTGGCATTAACAAAAATTCTACCGACGCAGGTAACAAAATTTTAAAATATATTTCCAGCAATGAATGATAAAATTTGTTTTCGTTGTACTACTACCAGAAGCATTATAAATGAAATATTGGTTTCAACTTAGATGATTTTCGTGACTGTTTACTGCTTCCTTGAAAACTTGTATATTTGTTATCCATGATGATTCAAAAAACCCTCTATGTTATTGTTTATGGATAAAAAAATGATAAAATTGTTTATCATGTTTTAAAATGATGGTGAATGAACCTCTCATCCCATCTCAATTATTTCACATACACATAGATCACCTTCCTCCGGTTGAATTAGAGGAAATAACTCTTACACTTTTTAAGTTTCATCAAAACAACTAGTGATTTTAGAACTCTTGATTTTTGGAGTGAAGACCCCTGGTAATTTATTCAAGATATATTAACCTATTGGAGCTTAATTAATATATGAAGCCCTTATGTTTTTGACTATGGGCTATTTGTTTTAACGTTTTTAGTCTTTCTTTCTTTTGAATACATGCAAATTAGATAAAATTCTTAGATACAGATACATTTCAGGGTTGTTTTCCATCATGTTTTCATTTTTATTGCTTTATATGTTCTCGCATTTCCTTTGAAGGTGGATTATAATATTATATGTTCTATTTATGGCTTTTATACTATACCGACCCATAAAAGTAGTGAATGTGACCTCTTTTTAATGGCTGTTGAATATCCAAGGTGTGGTGGGCAAGGCTGGCAACTCGCGTGGAGGTGCGACCTCAGAAGAGACCGCAGCAGCTGCGACGACTAAAGAAGTGGCATAGAAAGGTAACTCACTACGGCTGGAACAAATTCTGCAACTTGACAGCATATTTTTGCGCTATTGTTATGGCCTCCAATGTCGTCTCAACAATGGCCGCTTCCATCTATTTTGTTATGGTTAAACTTTCCACTGTCATCATTCACTTGAGATTTTAGTATTGGTATTTGATCTGAATTTGTTTTTTGTTGTATGTCTTTTATTTAGGATTCGTTTGGGACGGCTTTCGTACTGCTTTTTAAAGCAACTTTTTAATACAACAAATAAATTTTTTATACTAAAAAATTGCTTTAAGAAACAGTTAGAAAGCTGTCCCAAACGAAGCCTTAGATATTTGTATGTGAATGTAGATATGTTTGTGCGCTTTCATTTTGCTATATATATGGTGTGTACGAGAATTACCTTTTTCTCGAATGTATTTATCATCTAATGATATGAATCATCTTGTCTGAAGCATTCTTAGGCTTCGTTTGGGACTGTTTTTTTATTGCTTCTTAAAACAATTTTATATTATAAATTTTTTAATTTTTGTACTGGTAAGCAGCTTTAAGAAGCAATAAGAAAGATGTTCCAAACAAAGCCTTAATAAATTGTTTTGAATTGAGTTGCGTCAAGTTAGAATCATGTTGATTGAGCTGAAATGATTGAACCTTTTCAGTCTGTTATTTTGCATGTTGGTTTAAAATAGCCACGCAAACTAGCTATATTTGACAAGCATGATCAATGGTTCGCTGGTTGGCAACACAAATGATCGTTTTTTGTTAGTTGGTTTCAACTTATCAAATTGACTCTCTATTTAAAACTATCATTCACACCTAAATGTGTCTTTAGGGAGGTGATTAGCTTGCTTTGTAGATTTCTTTTATGATAATGGTTCTCTTAACAGGCTACATATCATATCCTCGTATGAAACTACACTTTCCAAATTCAAATGCGCATTAGGATTTCTCTCTTTTAATATGCTCAATATTGCTTATAAAATGAAATTTATTTGGAAGCATTTTTTGTGCTGCTTTTGGTTTCAATTGAAATAGAAGTTTTTGTAAAGATTTCTCGCTATTGTCTGGATGGTTTTCCTTCTCTTTTTGGCAATGGCCAAAGCTTCTTCCCTCTTCAATGATTCAGGGAATTTTTGGTTTCTTAACTGAGTTTTATTTTTAATCTCAATACTAAGGCTTATGTGACAGAGAATGGTCTCTTCGCTTCCATTCCTCTCTGAAGGAAGCTAACTGTTTCAGTCTCAATGAATTAGCTCTTAACTTCTTATTCTTGCTAACAAAGATAAGCTACTTTGGAATGAGAAAAATAAAAAACTTCCTTCTTCTTGAATCCAAAAAACGCTATTCTCTTTGAAGATTTTAACCTTCCACGGACTAAATTTGGTTTGAGACTTTTTTTTAAATTGGCGTTGCTATTTCATATTATATTTTTTTTAAGCTGTTATTTTTTTTTTTTTTTTTTTTTTTTGTTAAATAGATGTTGTATATAGCACTTTCTTATCATAAAAGTTTTCTAAAATATAAAAAAAAATTATCAAATTGAAATTATTGTTACGATCTGAAAAATAAAGTAGTAAAAAAATTATCTAAAAGGCTTCATTTAGGATAAATTTTTACTTTTTTTAAATTATGATAAATATTTTTAAGAAAATAATAAGAAAGTTGTTCACAGACAAAATCTAAGATCAAAAGATAAATGTAATCAGATCTAGACAAAATTTTTTAAACCAATATTCTTCTTGAGAATCTCTATTTAGCTTGATGAAGGTTTTTAGATTATTATAAGTTATAAATGTAATAGTTTCACTACAATCCACGTTGCGATTTGAATGGACCAATCATATTCTTAAAAATATGTCTAATATTATGATTAAGATTAAAGGTTTGTTTGAGACGATTACAGTTTTATATAAATGTGATTAAAAATCTGCTGAAGAAAGTATCTTTTTTGAAAGTTGCTATAGTAAACAAATTTCTAGCACACAAAGAGAGAGAGAGAAGTAAAACAACCAATCTTTTTTTACATAAAAACCCGAAGAGGGAAAAACTACGGGGCCTCGCCTAGGTGAAAATATTTTATTAAATTTCAGTGAATTACAAAAGTTTGACCCATCCCTTGACTTGGAAGCGGTTGAATTACAGTAGTTTGGAGAGTTGGATTAAGGTCTGTTGACGGTTGGGTGGAAGACTGGCATTGTCCGAGCAGAAGTTCAACTGACGGGGAATGATTTGATGATGGCCAGGAGGAAGACTAGCAGCGGTTAGTGGCCGGGTGGAAGTCTGGTGATGGACAGTGGTCTGATGAAGGTTAGGCAGAAGTCCCACGACGATCGGTGGATAGGTGGAAGTCCTCTGGCGGTTGGGCAAAAGTCTAGCAATGGTCAACGGACGGGTGGAAGTCTGGAGGCGGTCGGGGATGGGTGGTGGTCCAACAGAGGTCAGGCTGAAGTCCGATGATAGTTGATGGTCGGGGAGGTGGTTAAATGATGGTCAGGCTAAAGTCCGTCGACTACCGGGTGAAAGTACGGTGGCAGTTGTAGGCTGTGTGGTGGTTTAACGATGGTCAAACTAAAGTCTGGCGGCGATCGGCGGCCGGGTGGAAATCCGGTGGTGGTCGGATTATGGTCAGGCGGAAAGTCCATCGGTGATTGACAGCCAGGCTGTGGTCCGATGACAGTCAATGGGGGTTTGTGAATGGTGGTGTTGGAGCTCATAAAGCCTCATAGCTCTTTCTAATCTCGAGCCAAAGGTCTCCTTCATGTAGATAGTGGGGGTTTATTTATAGATTTTTATGAGTGGCACACCTTGTAAATATAGAGAAGATTCAAGGCAGGTTCGGGGTGCCCCATCAGATGACTCGTATTGATTTTCCTAATCATAGAGCTTTTTTTTAAACTATTTAGGTTCCTTAACAATGTCAGAATCCAACGATCTTGGGCTCGTTGGATTCATCTCGCCGAGCCGCTCGATTTAAGTATAAGTATCCCATATTTGAATATCGTTTGATCATCCAAATAATACTTTGAACCTTCCAAATACGATTGAGGCCCTCGATTCATATCCATTTGGGCTCGGATTGGGCTGATTTTGATGTTGTTGTGTTCTTCTTTTTGAGACGTTCACTTTTACTATAAGTTTGCTGAAATTATAATTCAGATGTTCCCAAGTTTAATTTTGTAACTTTCCAACTTGAGTATGCCATTAGATTCGTGCATGATCAAGAAGGCATTTGATGACGTATCAATTGCCCATATTTTTGGTTGTTGAATCTTGTAGAGTAAAAAAATTATATCTGTGATTTTAGCATTGTACGAAGTCAGGGTATTAATTGGAGCAAAAAATGTGAAAGAAGTTTACTACAAAATTTTTGAACTTGCTTTATATCAATTTCAGAGGCTCTAATGGGCTCCAAAAGTATTAAAATTGAGTCTAATACGTCCAAAAATAATTGCGAAGTTCGAAAACGTCTAAATCGGACTTTTTGGAAACAAATATATATATATATATATATCTATCTGTGTGTGTGTGAATATAGTTGCCGCCTTAATAGGCTGAATTTTCAATTAACTTAATTAATTCTATATTTAATAATATTTATTTACTTTGTATTATATTGAGTAAGTTAATTATATTAATTTTAATTACTAATTGTTTAATTAAGTTAAAATTAGATAATTAATTTATGCAATAATTATAAATTAATTATTAATATTTTAAAATATATTAATCAAGTTAACCTTAGGGCTTGCTTTTCAATTTTCATCTCGTTTTTTTCGGCTTCGCGGTTTCGCTTCCTTGCTTCATAGGAGTTGTAAGATTGCACCAGTGGCTTCTTCGACTCCTTCGTCGTTGTTCGACTTCGCACCTTTGACGATGTTCACTTTTCCTGTGGGATAAATCCCGTAGCTAAACAGCCCTTACGGGGGTGTTTGGTATCAAATTGGATTCAATTTTAGTATGATTTACTAAATCCTGTAAATTCAGATTTAGTAAATCCTATGCTCATAAATCCTAAATTGTGTTTAGTAAGACAACTTTTAAATCCTGTTAAATCCAAAGAAGTTTTTTTTTTTTTCAACATATTACAGGATTTAAAATAGTTGGAGATCTAAAATTGAAGGAGTAATATGAAGCCACTTAATTCGCTTCCGCATCAAGTTATAAATTTATTTGTTCTTTATCACATATTATATAATAATTATTTTAATTACTAATTATATTACTAACTATTTAATTACTAATTATATTACTAACTATTTAATTAAGTTAAATTAGGTAATTAATTTATACACAAATAATACTATTAATTATTTAATTAATTTACTTAGTTATTAATATTTTAAATTCAGTTAACCAATAATGGTTGAGGCGTCTAGAGTTTGCTTTTAAACTTCTCTTTGTCCGTCCTTGCTGTTCGGCTTCGTTGCTTGAAAGTCGAGCGCCGCTGGGAAGAGAGGGTGGGTTTGGGGTCGCCGGGGTTTTCGTCGGCGGCGGCGAGGTGGTTGAAGTGGAACAGGAGTGTTCGCGTGGTGGGAGTGACGAGGAGGATGGTGAGGGCGCGAAGAAGAAGCTGCAGTTATCTAAGGAGCAGTCGGCCGTTTTGGAAGAGAGCTTCAAGGAGCATAACACGCTTAACCCTGTAAACATTTCTTTCTCTCTCTGGTTTGCAGGATTCCTGTAGAGATTGCACGAGTCGCTTCTTCAGCTCCTTCGTTGCTATTCGACTTCGCTCCTTCGATGAGGTTCCCTTCCTGTCGGATCGGACGTTACAACATTTTTATCTGAAGCAACGACGGGAGCTCGGTCGCTCGCTGTGTGAAGGTAAGTTTCTCCCTTTCGCGCGCTTCTTCGGCCAAATCCCGTAAATCCGACTTCTAGCGGGATTAGGATTTACCGGGATTTACCGGATTTACGGCGTAAATCCGCAAATCCGGGATTTACAGATTTGCAGGATTTAAGGCGCCCAGATTTGCGTTTGGCTGGATTTACGGTAAATCCTACTTAAAACGACGAATAAATCCGATACCAAACACCCCCTTATGTCTGCTCTAAGCAGCAGACACTTTTGGCGAGATCGGATAGCTAGCGTTTGGTCGGTGGTGGCTCGAGTCGACGACAGGAACTGGACACCGATGACAGAGGGAGGGGTCGGGTTCGGTGTCGGACGGAGGTGGTGGCAGGGTTTGAGAACAAGGTTCTTTGGGGGCTTCAGCCCTAGAGGAGTGCAAACATATGAGGTGGAGGGGAAGGGGCTTGGTTGTGGATTCCATCTCTTATCTATGTCTATGAGAGGTGTGAGGGTGTCCCGGTTCTTGAGGTGTGCGAACAGAAGCCGGGGACCAAGTCAGCAGGAGATCAGAGAAAAGCCCTAAGAAGGCTTCGTCAAAAAGTGAAGAGAGAGAAGAAGAAGAGAAGAAGGAGGAGAAGGAATAATCTCCTCCTCGACCACCGCCGGAGCTCTTCCTGCCACCTGAAGACGCCGGAACTATGCTGAATTTTCGGGAAATGCTGAGAATTTGCAGAACTTTGTAATTTTGTGAGAAGTTGATTGTAAATTGATCGTCTTTGATTTGTAAGATGGATCAACCTTTGTACTTCAAACAAATATTAGTGGAACTTTGCAACTGGGCGAGGCACCGTGATTTTTTCCCTCTTTCGGGTTTTCCACATAAAAACCCTGGTGTTCATTTCTCTTTTCTGTTTGTGTGCGGAATACTTGTGCAAAGCTAGGACGCAAATTTACAAACTCTACCGCTGCGTATATTTTAGCACGGAATATTCGTGCAACGCTAGGACGCAAATTTACAAACTCTACCGCCGCGTATATTCTAGCACGCAACATATCTAATTTAACTTAATTGTATAATTAATAATTAAATATAAATATAATTAATTTAATTAATATAACTTAATATATATATTATTAAATATATAATTATTTGTGTAAATAATAATTAATGAGTAATTTGTATTAAACATATTATTAAAATTATAACACATTATATTTTTTATTTTTAATTATAAATTTATTTTTAAGTTATAATTATCTTCTTTACATTTAAATCTATAACTACTATAAATCCTAAAATATATTGCCAAATAATTTCTAAAATTCAAATTTACAGGATTTACTAAATCTCACTCTAAATCCCACTTGTTGCCAAACAGCCCTAGGGTTTGCTTTTAATCTTCTATTGTTCGTACTTGCTGTTCGGCTTCCTTGCTTCGCAGGAGGTGTAGAGATTGCACTAGTCGCTTCTTCGGCTCCTTCGTTGCTGTTCGACTTCGCTCCTTCGACGACGTTCCCTTCCTGTCGGATCGGACGTTACAACATTTTGATCTGAAGCAACGACGGGAGCTCGCTCGCTCGCTGTGAAGGTTCCCTTTCCCGCGCTTCTTCGGCCAAATTTCGTAAATCCGCTCTTCCTCAGTAAGTGTAAGTTGCGTTAAATCCGAGTAGAAACGGGATTTGGATTTACAAGGATTTGCCGGATTTACAGCGCCCCGATTTGAGTTTGGCTGGATTTACCGTAAATCCTACTTAAAACGGCGAATAAATCCGATACCAAACACCCTCAAGAATTTCTTCTCCTCCTTCGACGACGTCGGATCGGAAACCACGACTAGAGGCCTTCCTCCGACACTCTTTGATCACTGCTATCGACATCTTATTTTTCTTCGTCGGGAGCCGCCACTTTACCCAACGCTACTTTGCTCGATGGAGAATAACAACTGGCGGCCTGCCCAGGGCGAGACTCCCTCCATGGAAGTCTCTTCCTCCGACTGGAGGTCCCAACTCCAACCTGAAGCGAGACAAAGGATCGTTAATAAGATGTAAGACCAATTTTTTCTCTTTTTACTTCGTTCCTGATCGTTATCCATTGATCCATCGCCCTGATTAGGTTTTACCTAGTCCATGTTGGTTGAACAGAGCGTTAAGGGTAGTTCTGGTGTCTATACACCGGGGATAGATTATAGATATTAATGATATGAGGAGCATGATTACCTGTTAGGCTGTTATATACATAATTCATTAGTTTTTTTTTTCCCTTTACTCCTCGGATTTGTGCGTGGCAGAATGAATGCGGCAAATTCATAAAAAAACCTCTCAGGTGCCTGTGAGAATATTCTGATACTTTATGTTTTAATTCTCAAGAAAGAATTTTTTTGCTCTCAGAAAGAAGCAGTCTTGAAATGTAACACAATACAGATATACTTGCCACTTGACAGCCTGTTAAATTGTTTACAGTATGGCTTATATATTTCATTCTTTTCTTTTTTCTTTTCTGTTGCTAGAATGGACACTCTAAGGAGGCATCTTCCTGTGGCTGCTCCTGAGGGGATGACTGAACTCAAGAAAATTGCAGTACGATTTGAAGAAAAGATTTATGCTGCTGCTGTCAATCAGGTGCATGCATTTTTTGTATAACAGAGAATTCCAATGGCTTCTGATTGATTTTACATAAATTGGCATCCATATAACAAATGTCCTGAAAGATTAGGACTGCTTTTGGTTGGTGAAGAAGGGTCAATTAGCTCAATATACCTTGCACCAACTGTAATTTGATAATTAATTGCATCAATTTTCATGTTGGTGCAACCTTTCAGAGTGTTTTCCCACTGTGCACAACTATTGAGGAAATCAATCATTATGTTTTCGGGTAGAAAATGTTATAAGTAGCACTTTCAAGAAAGATGTTTCATAACGTAATGTTTTATTTGGTTTGGATTCTAAGTGGAGAATGGTAGTGCGTTGGTGTTGGGCATTAAATCATGTTTTATCTTTTATACTATATTGTCTTTCCCTTCAGTACTTATTTTCTCATTTTCACTCTTTTTATGAATTCAGTCAGATTATCTAAGAAAGATTTCATTAAAAATGCTCTCTATGGAAACAAAGACCCAACAAAACGCTCCAATGAACCCTCAGCCTGGCGTTAACCAAAATTCTACAGACACAGGTAACAAAATTTTAAGATAAATTTCCCAATAATGAATGATAAACTCAGTTTTTTTTGTCTACTACCAGAAGCATTATAAATGAAATCTTTGTTTCAACTTATATGATTTGTATTGACTTTTTACTGCTTCCTTAAAAACTTGCATATTTGTTATCCATGATGATTCAAAATACCCTCAATTTATGGTATTGTTTATGGATGGGATAATGATATAAAATTTTTTATCATGTTTTAAAATGTTTTATGTTTTATTTGAACAACTAGTGATTTTGGAATTCTTTGTTTTTAAAGTGAAGATCATTTTCACTGATAATTTATTCAAGATAAATGTTAAATTTCAAATTAGTCCCCCGAATATTCATATATGGTCATTTTAGTCGCAGAGTATAACATTGCTCCAATTCTGTGGCTCGACTATAGAAAATTTATCCAAAATAGTTCATTTGGGATTAAATTGGGATCAATTTTATATTGCAATTAGAACTTGAGGGACTATTTTGGATTAATTCTCTATGATCGAGGGAGTATATTGGGCAACATGATACTTTCGGACAAAATCATTCATACACCAATAGTCTGGATACTATATTAAGATTTTTCTGTAAATTTAATTATGTACCAATTTTGTGGTCGTGGAGCTTACCCTATTGCCACTTGATTATCAGACAAAGCGCTTATATTTAATTATGTACCAATTTAAGCTTTTAGCCTTTCTTTCTTTTTAATTCATACAAATTATATAAAACTCTAAGAAACAGATGCATTTCAGGGTTGTTTTCCGCCATGTTTTCATTTTATTGATTTTTATGTTCTCCCATTTCTTTTGAAGGTGGATTATATGGTCTATGCATGGTTTTTATAATGTACCGACCCATAGAAGTATTGATTTTGACCTCTTTTTAATGGCTGTTGAATCATTATACTTCATATAGCGTGTTTTTATGGTTATTCCAAAAATGGTTGACAAGAAATTTTGTAAAATTCAACTATTAGACTTGCTGAATTTATAATTTTCTAATATGATGAGAACAAAATGTGAGTGAAAAATAATCTAAAAAGAAAAGAGCTAAAGGGCAGGATTGTATTTAAAAAAAAAAAAAAAAGGCAGGATTGTATTTATCATGATCAGTGACGATTTGCTGTACTTGAAGAAGCTTTCAATATCTATATCCATCCATATGAAAGTTGATGATGATGTGTGAAAATTCATTAATACAAGAGCTTTTTTTTAATGGTTGAGTGAAAAATCTGCTTTCCGGAAAAATGAAACCATCTTAGAAAGTGAAAATACAGTTTCTCGTGCTTGTTTGTACCATGATAGAATGATTCTAGTCTTACAACTTGTGTTTTTTGAAAGCGTAGCAAATTTATTGGTTGTCATGAAAAGTACCATGATAGAATGATTCCAGTCTTATAACTTTTTTTTTTTTTTAAGTGGTGGGTCCACCTTCAGGAAGGCAGCAGCTTTTACCTCAAAGCCTGCAAAATAACACTCCTGCTTCCATGCAAGGTTCTTCTAGTCTTTCTGCAGCACCTTCTATTACGGGGCTTTCTCAGTCAACCATAACAAACTTTGGTCATACATCTAATATGCAAAACATGCCAGGGATCTCTCACAGTTCTGTAAATAATTCTTTAGCACAGGGAACAACAGCAGATATTTATGCCAATGCGCCGAGGCATATGCAAGGAAGGCAGCAGCAACAATCACAAAATCCACTTATATACCAAAATTCGCTTCAACCGCAATTAATGAAGAAGATGCACAATAATGCACTTCTGCAATCATCTATGCAGCAGCAACAACAACAACAATCTTTGTTGCAAACAAATCAACTGCAAACTTCTCAGCAGTCCACAATGCAAATGCCATCTGGTCTAACATCTGGCCAGTCCTCTATTCAGCAGCCACCAGCGACATCCATTCAATCTGCTTCCCAGCCGGCCCTTCAACAGAATCAGCTGAACGCAATTCAACAATCAGTATCACCCCTACTCCCACAACATGTGCAAGCGTTTCCTAGACAATCACAGCAACCGCAGTCTTCTCTTCACCAGCAAACAAATTTGCAAACCCAGCAGCAGCAGCAGCAGCAGCAGCAGCAACAGTTGATAGGACAACAAGCAAACATGTCAAACATTCAACAAAATCAATTACTTGGTCAGCAAAACAGTATAGTTGACATAAAGCAGCAACAACAAAGATTGCCTGTCCAGCAAAATAATCTTATCAACATGCAGCAGTCTCAACAGTTACTTAATCAGCAATCATTGTCTTTGCATCAGCAGCAGTTAGGCCAGCAAACTAACATGCAGGGTCTCCAGCAGCAGCAACAACCGCAATCCCAGCAGCAACAACAGTTACTTGGTTCGCTACAGAACATTTCGAATATGCAATCACATCAACGTTCAATGCAGCTTCTTCAACAGTCTAAAAATATGTCACAGGCACAACAGCAGTTGCAGCAACCTTCTATCTCACTGTTGCAACCACAAGGTCAACAAGCACTTCATCTGTCATCACAGCAGCACTTGATGTCACAATTTCAGCCTCAAGGACAATTGCAGCAGCCATTGGCAATGCAACAGCATTCAAATGGTGGCATGCAAAGGGAGATGCAGCAAAGGATTTCTTCAGGCACATTGCTTCAGCCTCAGAGTGCACTGGAGCAGCAGAAGCAATTCATGCAGTCACAAAGGGGGATTCCTGAAGTTTCATCCAGCAGTAAGTCATTGCATGCGATGCATTTTTATAAGAATTTGACACGCCATTCCTTCATTTTTGTTGATACAATCTAAAAAAACATTAGGATTTCAAAGTAAAGTCTTTCTTTCCTTAAAACATAGACAAACACATAGGAAAAAATAATACGATTATATCCCATAATAACTTAAACAAACACAACCACACTTTACAACTTCAAATAAAAAGACACAACACCCTATAACTTCAAACATAAAAAAAAAAGACACAATAACACCATACGACTAACTAAAGCTTCAAGAAGAAAGATACATGTGGAATGAGAACTATGGAGAGAAGAAGAAGATAGAAGTCTAAGACAAAGTTTTAGAAGATAGGGAGGTAGAGGAAAATTGCTCGCAAGCTATACAAACCCACATGTTTCACTTTACAAAAATTCTTCACTATTCATTCCCTATTTTTCTCCAAAGGAAATCAGCCACCTTATATAGGAGAAGATAGAGAAAAAAAGTATTAAATGCTCTCCTTAATGAGCCACCCAAATCAGCCAATAGAATAAACCCAAAACAACCCACTTAATAAGAAATTAAAACACTTTAGCATAGGAATCAACAAGGAACACACAAGAACAACTAACATATGGAAAAACAGGACAACAACATGAGAGAAATAAATAGCTAGCATATGGAAATGCAGGACATCAACATGGGAAAATAAACAGCTAGCAGAGGGAAAGCCAGTGGCAGGGAAAAACAGACTCAACATGGGGAAAACCAACAACCAAAATATGGGAAAATCGAAAGGCTAACAGCAGGAAAACTAAAAAGCCAACAAGGAAAACGAGGAATCAGAAAGGGAAATTGAGAAGGCATGCAAGAAATCTAATAAATGGCAAGTATTGATTGCCACATTTGTTGTGTTAGAACAAACGTCCCTTGAATCCCTCACATATCACTATTTATTTTTAAAGAGCATGAAACATTGAATAGTTTTTCGATCAGCTGGCAAATTTGAGAAAATTATTTTCTTGCTTTGTATGAGAATGTTGATCAATTTGCTTGACTGGCTATGTTACCATTGCCGATAATAGTTTGTTTTAAAAGGTTGAGATTGATATTAGACTACTTATTATAAATTCCATACCAAATTCATGAATTATATACAAAATTCATAAATTGAATAATTTTAATTAATGAATTCTAATTATATTTTTCTAATGCTAAGGAGTTCCCCAGAAACAACATTCAATCTCCAATCTCAATTGTGTTGATGAGTAAGATTTGTTTAGGATGTCATTTACAAGTAGCACCATAACTTATCCTGCATGTGGGGAGCGGTAGACATAAGTTGTTTAGGATTTAACTTATAAGTGATACATTACAATTTAGCTCAATTACAATAAAAACTAAGTAAGGATTAACCTAAACTAAAAGATTATACTTATAATATAATACTTGGTGACTTTAAATATAAATGTTTGAAAATTGTTCAACCATTAGAAAAGGTTAAATAATTTATATTTGAAAAAAAAAGAGAAGGGAAATAATTGAAAGATATTTAGAAACTTTATATGTTGGGAAGATTAATAAATGAATGAGGTAGGGATTGTTGTGGATAGGTATAGGTTAAATATAGAATTATTTTGGGTGAAATTATGGTTGAGTATGCTTAGAATATGGTTAGTGTTTGTGCTCTTTCAAGTTAGTTTGCATGATCATTTGAGGAATTAATTTCCATAAGAAATGTATGAACTACTATAATATGTAAATATGATAGATGGAATAAGTATTGGTGATGATCTAAATGGATATGTGAATTTTAGTGGGATGATTTTTGAGATAAATTATTGTGGTTTTATATTAGGATGCAAAAAGATGCTATGAGAGCTCGACTTAGGCTTCATTTGGTTACCAAGTACCTTTTGTAAAAGGTAGTTTTAAAAACGTTGATTGAGAAAATGGAGGTTTCTAATAAAGAAAAAAATACCAAAAAGCTTTTGAAAATAACAGAAAAGTGAAATTTTGTAAAAAGCATTTTTACAAAAGTGTCACATTCAAACATCAACGCAAAAATAATTTTGTCGTTTCAAAACAATAAAAGATAAAATTAAACCCTCTCAAACGAGGCCTTAATTTCATAGAAATGTTAATCTTATAGATTAAACTTGTTACATATTTCAACTTTGTAGTTTATGTCTATGATGAATTGAAGGAAGGATGCATTAGAAAATGTGAGAAATGTACATTTGCATTAGTCATCCACCTCTAAACTTGGAGGGTTTCAACGGACAAAGGGAGAAGATCTTGTACTAGGAGATGACCCCTCTTTACATGAGTTCAATTTCAATATTCTCTTGATCTTTTACGACTCTTAATTTATTCATGTTCAAGAGAATGATTCTTTTTGGTTGTCTTTAAAAGTCATTATAATCAACTAAAGAGATGCATAGTTCTTTTTGTTCTTTAGTAATAAGTGTTTAGGTATGAGGACACATATTGTCTCTTGATAAGTAACTAAAAGGTTTTATTTTGGTTGGCTCAGAAGTGGGCAATAATATGTTTAATTTAATGTCAATAAATTTGATGGGCTTCATGCACATTTTGATACGAGGCATTAAGATTATTGGGGAGACTTCAAAAGTATTGACGAGATTCTACTAATCCTATAGTAAAGGTTGCTCGTTGGGGAAGCAAAAGTTTGACGTGGATCTAACACAAGCATGATGATACACAATTTTCTTGAGAATTGTCCTAACGATCCATTTTTTATGTCAATTTCGAACGGGTGGTGTTGTTATCAACAGAGGCATTAGGATATGAGTGTGACATCTTAACTTAGAGAGAGGTGCTAATAACATCTCTAATTTTTGACCTGTTTGGATCACCGTAATTAGTCGCTCTTTTCTCGAGGGAGCTATTGGGTTCAATGCAAGAGCAGGATCTAGGCATCATTCATCCACCTTAGGGATGAAACATTGTGAAGCTTTAGACAACATCATAGATGGAGGCACTGAGGGTGGATGAGACAACTTGTTGTTTCCTGTTTTAAGTTGAGGGGTCCGAGTATTATTGAAGGAGTGGCTACAAATATGGATGCCATCTTTGTAGATTTGGGGGTTAAGTCCTGGAGGCTGACATACCTACACATATAGATATAGGATCTATATGAAAAGTTAGATCCATAATGATTTTGGTGGCCTAGTTGGAGGGGCACAATTTGCCCTTAATATTAATGTTAATTAAGTGCCCAAAAAATTGAGGGAAAATTGAAGTCAACGTTGATTTGATTGCTAAGGTTAGACTTAATAAACTAAATCAAGAACCAATCAATCTTTAATTCTTAAGCTTATGTTTTAATCATACATTTTAAGTACTCTATTTCATTTAATAAATTTGTTATTTGCTTCCATAATTAATTTGATGAAGGCTTTTTAGCTAAAGCATGCTAGATCGTACTTGGATTTATCTTGATGACATGCATAGAACTAAGTGTTAAAAACTTACACATCTCTCCAACATTTATGATGATTATGCTCACGCAATATCCATGTCCCCTAATAGCCTTCATGTATGATCTTCACTACTATGTTCTCACAATTGTACGCTATCTCCTTTGTTAAAATCTCATTAAATACTCATTTTTTTTTTTACTATTGCTCTTTTTTTTTTCTCGGCCTCGCTCTAATCTCTAGTGAGTCATTGTGCTTTTTCTAATATAAGGCTCGCACACACACACTCTCTCTCATCAACAAACCCGCCTTGAATTATCGTGTCGTCCAATTTTGCAGCTCTGCTACATTACTACAACATTTCAAGCTCTTTCATGTTATACAATGTTCACATCCTCATTTCTTTTGGTACTTACCTAATAATACCACATTGCTGAGTGCATTGTTGCTTTGCATACATACTTGTGATCAAGCTAGCATACTCTCATTGATTGATGATATGCTCATCCCTTTCAACTCCTAGCTTGGTGCCTATTCCGTCACGCTTCCATGTGACTAACACTGCAATTCCCACATTCCTCTACACACACATTGCTCGCCTTCCCAATTTCTTTGTAGTTGCTCCTTAGCTTCTAAGCTTTATGTGGTCACTAGCCCACTTATGAGTCAAGGAACCCAAAATTATTATGTCATGAACTCTCGATTGACTACACTTCTTTTGAGCACATGTATAATTTTGATCTTCTTTCTAGTAACAAATCCTTGACACACACATGCAACTAGGCCCTCAACTTTCTATGAGTCTTGTGATTGCTTACCATTATATGACCTGGAGTCATGTTTGATCTTCGACTAGATGAAGTCTATGGAGGTAGGGTAGGGAGAGCCCAGATTAGGTGTTACTTCGAGGGAGGGTCTAATTGAATTTGGCGCTGAAGAGTTGCATTAAGTTTGTCAAAGTTCTCGGTTGGCCATTCCATTATAAGGTTAGCAACTACACTATGGAGTGTATAATTTGGAGTTCATTGTGTAGGGATTTAACTAGTAATATATGTGTGTATATATATATATATATATATGTATATATATGTATATATAATGATGAAATAATAGCTAATTTTGAATTCATTATATGTTGCGTTGTCTAAAATTATTATTTTACTTCTTTGTATGGTACTTGTGCTATGGCTTTCCATTCATGCATTTGAATGTTTCTTTTTAAATGATTGGGCTTTTGATATTGAGTTACATTGAGTAAGATGATGGGTGATGAGTCATAAAGCAGAAGAGTTGTCACAAAAAAGTAATGACTGTTGATTTATCAATGTTGAAGTTAAAGAGGGATGATGAATGTGGTGCCTTTGGTTGGCAAGGAATTTGCTAAAGGGGCAATGAGAGAGGCAACTGATGTATCCTTGTTGACTTATGAGAATGAAGATTAAGGTGACGGTTACGGTTTTGTGACTTAGGTCTGGTGATAGGGACCATCAAATGTATACACTACATAGTTGAGAAAATCTACAAAAACTGATTATGACATTTTACCTGGCATGATGGTCATGATGGCCCTTATTTTCACGAGGATGAGATGATGATTTAACTTTTGATGTGATGTCTTTTAACCAAAAATTTCTTTTTAAATTTAGGTGTGTTACACAAGATTTATTTCTTATGCCCTTGGTCTTTAAAGTTCTTTTGAGCCATGATTTCCAGCTCAGAGGCAGACGTCAACTCCAAGGTTTGATTGGTGGGAGGAAGTCTTTCAATTTTTACATCGTTTGAGTTTGACTTAATAACTAAGCAGCTTTAGCGATGAGGAGGGAGCCACCTTGCTATATGAGAGGGCGTGGACAATGTGCTGCCATGACTAAGGATGGCAATGCCAATGATGTTGAGTGAGGTGACACCACCTTTTTGCTAGGGCATTGGAGAGTAGGAAGTCTACCTGTTTTTGACTTAGGCAGCATCGAGCTTATGGAAAGGCAATGTATCCCACCTGCTCATTGTTCAAGGTGTCCACCTATGGAGGGATGCCATCTTGATTTTGACTTCTCACCTATGAAAATGACAAATTAGAGAATAATTTTAACAAAAGAGAATATACTTATTTAGGGGATATAGGATGGGATGGTTCTTGCCTGTTGGACTATTAACCAATATGTGAAGGTAATAAGGCATACTACTTAGTTCAGAGGACTGGCGAGGCCTAATAGTTCACTAAAACTTGACAAGACTAGTGGTCGATGTGGTAGCACGTTTTTAGATAGTATTCTAGCTTTGTTCGATTGATGTTTGAATCAAGTCATGCCATTCTTCTATCTTTCTTCAACTTTCTTAGAGAAGAATTTGGGTGGTGGCACCTTCAATCAAGGAGGAGCTGAGGGGACCCGAACTATATGGTTTTGTGCTTGTTGGATAAGTTGATTTTTATGTTGAAATAATTATTGAAAATTTTCATAGAATCATGAAAGAAGATTGATTTTATTTTATTGATCTCAAAAAGAACATTTGATCAAGTATCACAATAATTTATTTACTGGACATAAGGACAGAAGATACATCAAATATATGTTGAAGTTTTTGAAGATTTGTATGATGAAGTAATAATTTACGTTAGAAATAGAAGTTATGTGGAATTCTAAATAATTATTAATAACAAAATAATTATATCAATAATCATTATTAAATTCATATCTTCTAGTATTTATTATGGAGATTTATATTAAAGTCTAAAGATAAGTAGTTTATCATGATGAGGGCGGGCCTTTTCTTTATTAAGAAATATTACATATTGTTTCTCGGTTTTTTATAATTTTGAAATATTACATATTGTATATTTTCTATTTTTTGAATAAAAGATACAACCTTTCCATATTACTTACTAAGATTTATGCAACTTCTAATCATCTCTAACAACCTTATTTTCTTACATCAGCATCAATGGATTCAACAGCTCAGACTGGACATAATGGTGCAGATTGGCAAGAAGAGGTTTATCAAAAAGTAAGAATGATTTATTAACTTATTATTGTTTTATATCTTATATTGGTATGCTAATGTTTTTGCTTTTTCTTAATGCATAGAGAGCATATTTTATTTAATTTTTTGGATGTATCTTAGAACCTAAATATCTTTAGGTTAATATCATTTGATTCCGTTCAATATTATACTTGATGCCCGAGACTCCTGTTAATATGAAGGTCTCAGGTGAAATTGATGTAGAACAATATATGCAAGTGATGTTGATTTGGAAATTATGCGTGTTTGAACAGAGCTTAACAATTTATTAACTCACAATGAACTTAAGCAATGACTTCAACATGCAATGGGGAAATCAAGTTTACGAAAGTAATCACATGCTAATGGGAGGACCATTAAATAGTAGATTAATTAATAACATGCTCGTGTGGTGTTTCAGAGACAATCCCTAAGTTAACAAATAGATTAGTCACTACATAGGCTCACTCACACAACGCTCTTGGTGTGGACTAAGCTGATTAGCTTTCATAATAAAACGATGCCACGATTGAGGAGGAATAAAAGAAGTACAAGGGGGTAGGAAGAGTTTACCCACATGGAAGAAGATACTAAGCTACCGAGAAGTCGTTTAGCTACCTATGGGGAAAGGACAACAGTACGAATCCACTCGCACGCCCGGACGTCACTCTAATGTCTCCGAAAATTTTGGACAACAACTTTGTGGGCACCAACTCCTAGAACAACTGGTAGTGGGGCTGGAAAACGGCCTGATCCTGTATTTTAGCAGCAGACGGCCATCTTTAGGATGATTTGGGAGGGAAACAACAAGCTCCTGGCATGAAATTGGGGGGCGACAAGTACTAAATGATTAGGGGGCTGATTTGGGGCCTTAGTGGAGTTGTCAGCTATAGCTTACTTGTTAAGGAAAGAGGAATTAATTCAGATTTTTAATCAATACTCAGATTTTCTGATGGGGATATCCTTTCAAACATAGGACAACAATTTAGGAAAGGAATTCAAGGCTTGTAGGAGAATTCAAATTTGAATTCAAATTCCCAAAATTAACACTAGGCTAATTCAGGAAGGGAAATTGATGGGATCTAAGATTCAAAAGCCAAGAAGGAGAACACTAGGGACAAACAGAATAAAGCTCGACCCAAAAAAAGGTTAATAATCCACCGACAAAGAAACAAATAGATGCAAGAAACATAAAAGAGGAGTTAGAAAGAAAAGACAAAATCATAAAAACACTACCCTCAGAACAACCTTAAAGGTCACCTCGCATGTATCGATATAATTAGGAAAAATTAGGTGCTCTAAAGAACATTCAAACCAGGAGTCCACCACAACAATCTTGATCCAATGACCGTTGGCACTCCTCCGACAAATAACAACAAACCGGCGAACAACACCACTCACACTTTATGTAGAACAGAAAGATAAAATGGAAAGGTACTTGTAGAGAAAGAAATAGATAGAAGACTAAAAGTGGAAATAGGTGTGAAAGAAGTAGCTCTCATGCTAGGAAGAGAAAACCCTCAAGTTTTAGAAACAATTTCTGATAATTCAAAACCTCCATACAACAGCAAACAACACCCTATAAATAGGGAAAAAGAATACAAACAGCCCCCCAAAAGGTGCCGCCCCAAGCCTCCAATGGGAGAGGCCAAAGTATGGAAAATTCCCAAGAGAGAGGCACGACCAGCCCAGGAACCAAACATCCAGAAAACCAACAGCCAGCTCAGGATCCGAATAGCCAGAAAAATCCAACAACCAGCTCAGGACCCGAACAGCCAGAAAACCCATTGGCCGAAATAACAAAACACCAAGCAGCCAAGGAAAAATGGGCTAAGCCCAATAGGAGAATTTCAGCCCAACAACAAATAACCAAAAATCAAAGAAAGCTAGCAAACCAAAGGAGCGAAATGTCCTAAGAGCACAAATCCTAAACATGTTCATAGGTTGTCTTCCATCATAGGGTAAATAAAATAAAACATAAAATTCTAAATTACACAAGACCAAAATAAAAATTTAAAAACATTCGAATAAAAAAACATATGCTGATAGATATTGAATACATTAGGAATTAATTTGGATGTCCAATTAAGATTCAAATTGATTGATTGAGATATCTTTCAAAACATAACCCAATAATTTGGGACAAGATTTCAAGGCTTTAGGAGATTTCAAATTTGAATTTTAGATTTTCCAAAATTAACACTTGGCTAATTTAGGAAGGGGAATTAATTGGGATCTCCAATTAATATTCAAATTGATTGATTGTGATATATTTTCAAAATAACTCAAATTTAAGGCTTTTGGGGATATCAAATTTGAATTTCATATTTTCCAAAATTAATGCTAGGCTAATTTAGGAAGGGGAATTAATTGGGATCTCCAATTAATATTCAAATTGATTGATTGTGATATCTTTCCAAACATGACCCTACAATTTGGGAAAATATTTTAAGGCTTTAGGAGATTTCAAATTGAATTTCAGATTTTTCTGAAATTAATGCTAGGCTAATTTAGGAAAATGTTAGAGGATCAATTTGAAATTTTGGAAGGAAAGGGAAGATGGGGTCATGATGCTTTCGGCCATGGGAACAAGGAGGTGGTCAGCTGCTATGAAGGGGGTGGAAAGGAGAGGCTTTGCATAGTCAAGGCTAGGAGGAGAAAAGAGGTGGTCAGTTGGAGCTTTGGGAGGAGATGATAGTGGCGACAAGCTCAATGGGGGTGGAGGAGGAGATAAACCGTGAGTCCAGACAGTTCTTGCGGTTGACGGATTTTGCTTTGCCCTCACCTAAGGACTTCACATAAGCTCTCGCAAGAACTCTCAAGACTCTCAAACACACCTAGACATAAAGTGTAGAAATTTTCATTCATAATAAAGAGGAGACGAGGCCTATAAATAGACAAAATATAATAAAACATTAAATGACAACAGTGTCCCATGGGGTCACATAAATATACTCCCTCAAGTGAGGGTAAAAGCGAAAAATTACACATAATAAATCAAATACAAATTAATGCACAGATATAAAGTATTCCGATCGTAGCTGTAGATCTTCGGCCCTTCCTCTAATAAACTTTTCACGGCCGTATGTCCTCATAAGAAATACTATACCAAAAATTGATATTCATGCTATGCCAGCATATATTGTTCTGTTACTATTTTATTGTTTTACAAATAATTTAAAGAATTAAAGGTACACCATTCTCTAATGTATAAGGGAGCTTCACATTATAAAAAGGTTTTAAAAACCCTCTGTTTGGGTTCATGTGATATACAAAATACATCACTTTATTATTTTCATTAATCTAATCATTATTAGAAAATAAAATGTCCAAATTGTCTATTTTTTTTTTTCAAATTTTCTTGCTGAAAAAGTCAAGTCATCTTGTTTTACCTTCTAGCCCTCTCGCTTCCCTCCCTTTTTACTCTCGTTGTTTGGAAATTGAAATGGTAACCTAGGGTAAGAAGCAGGCGGCGCATTAGAAGGTGCCAATGGACAAAAATAGTTATGGTAGAGAAGTGCCTATTGACTAAGGACGGTGCCATCGGTGATGAAAAAAAAGGAGGCCAAGAAGAAATAAGACGCAAACATTATTTTTGATATATCCCCCCCCCCCCCCCAAAAAAAAAAAAAAAAAAAAAAATTACCATTACATACCTTCTCATAAAATGATTTGTTGAAGTTCTTGATGACGAGGCTAACATTGATCAATGGCTTGGGCAGATGTGCAATGATATTCTTGCAATGTAAGATTATCTATGCTCCTAAAAAAGTAATGACAGGGCAGATCTTCGCAAATTTTCTTGTCACATCCTAGTCACATGGATTCACTTCTCAATGATGATTTACTTGGTGAGCAATTTTTTCTCATTCATAAAAATGAAAGACTGGATATTTGAAAACTATATTTTGACAGAACATCAATGTTCAAATTTACCCAACCACTAAACCTTCCAAAGACATGAGCTCGTATTGCTTTCATCTCTGTAACGCTTCATGAAGGTTTAATGAGATATTCCTTCGGTTTGACTAAACTTCAAACTAATATTCAAAACTTTAGTGGTATGTCTCAACATTGTCGTTTCAATAAGAATCCAAAGTCCAAACGATTCACATTTCTTCAATGATTCCTAGCTTGTCATTTTTGAAGTATCGGGCATATACAAGATTAATATGCTTGAGCTAGCTTGTTACCATAAGCAGATTCTTGAGCTCATGAAATAATTTTAGAACATCAACTTAACCTGACTCTCATGAGTTTTGAAAGCCAGACCATTTCCCTAGTTTAATTGGCCAAAGAAATATTGACCATAAACAACGATTATCGATTGATTGGAGTTCATAATCATTGAGTGCTACATCCAATAATTGTACAAATACATAGGTAGAGAGATCGTCAAATTCAAGTCTGCAAAACTGTAGTTCTTCTTTACTCTCCACCACTAGTCATTTTGCAATGCCATCAAGAGGAGCCTTTGAATGCTCAAGAAGATTATAAATATGAAGAAGCTCTAGAATTGCAACATGTGACCTTCATGATAGAAAATCAAGATGATTGGAGACAAACTTTCATCAATTATTTCAAATAAGACAAATCCATGATGGACCGATGCTTTTCTTTAAGAAAGTATGCAGTGTCCAACACGTATTGAACACGAATACACCTCTGACATGTGTTATACATGGCGAAGATGTGTAAATTAAAATAATATTAAAAATTGGATGCACATGTTCTAAATGTTTAATGAATAAAACTTGTTTTAAATATTATTTCTTATATTTCAACTTTATGTATTAAAAAAGAACATCGACGCTTGATTGTTGACATTCTAATCATAATCTTTTTAAGCACAAATTCTAATTAAACAATTTACCATTATTATTATTATTATTATTAGTATTATGCTTATTTAATTTCCATTTCCTATTTTTAAGCTATAAAAATTATAATGTTATGTTCAATCTGTATTTGTGTCGTATATTTTTAATAATTGATGTGTCCTGTAT